TTTATTTTCCCTCTGATACTTGACATGGAGAAGTCCTTGGCTCCATTCCAACAGAAAATGTTTTCAAATTTCTATGTTCTAGCTTTGGAAGGTGCAGCACACTCTCGGCTACATGCAACTTAAAGGCAATTCACACAAATGATCACCTGTAGCCAACTGACTCTCCTCTCTCACTATTTCATCCCTACTGTGTGACTTCTGGGCCGTCTTTATTTGCATAAAGGAAAAGGTCATCTGTTAGCATGAGCTTAGGAATGGCTTTCAGTAGGAAGTCAGGAGGCATTTCTGACTATGTTTTTGAGAGGCAGATGTTAATCCAATTATTAGAATTAGGAATATAGCCCGTCACATACCTGGCCAAACCACTAGACCACACTAGTAAGGGATGGCCTCCATGTTTGCCAGCTCTAGCTGCCAGTGCTAACCTTCTGCATGAAGCAGATAAATTTAACTGAGGTCATTCCATCATTGTGTATGTGCCACACCAGGTTTTGACATTGTTATAACAAACTGTTGAGCACGAGGGGAAATGTCAAGAAGCTCTACCAGATAATCCAAATGTGTAATTATGCCTCACTAGCTCTTTAAATTCAGCTACTTTCTCCTAATCAATGCAGAGACTTAGGATGGAATCTTAACCCACATCTGTCTAGAAACTATTGAAACTGTTTGCTAGCCAACTAGGTTAGTCTGCCCATGCTCTTCTAGATCTAGACTGGGCTCTCTTGGTGAATGGAACAGCTCTTGGTTTTATGGAACAGGGCCACCAGTATGAGATATGCAATAGTGATGATTCAGGACACCTTAGAATTCAAGATCCTCCCAGGAGGGATATTACAAGAGCCCTCAAGCCTCTTTGAAGATTAAAGGACAAATTAAACAAACATATGAAGTGTTTCCTTGTGGTTTTACACGAGCATGGTGTCATATGTAAAGAAACGGATTTCTTTTGCCAGCAACAAAGACATTAAACACTCACTTGAGATCTTGGTCTTGCTGAAACAGCAGCATTACTGTCAGCCCTAGTGGTGATGCAGTGTCCCAACCCCAAGAGGATGGGTCTGAAACTGCAAAAGGCCACGAGCAGCTAAGGCTGCTGCTTTCCCTGGGCTCCAGGGCTACTCATCATTCTCAAAATTGTTCCTGTATATACTGAATGGGATCAGAAAGGAGCCTGTAAATAGGGATTTAAACACTTCAACCTCAGGCCCTCCCTGGTGGTGCAACAGGTTAAAGCACCATACTGCAGGGGAGCCCAGCCACTTCAGTGAGAGTTCAATCCCCCACCCTGGAGGTGGCCCACATGGTGCAGCAGACCACTCCTGACCCACTTGCTGCTCCCCTCAGCAGTGTACTTCATCAGTCTTCCTGTAGTGCTCCCTACTCTGTCTCTATTAAATCCTCTCACCACCCCTGAACCTCTGGCCGGCACCCCAGTTCTATTTGCACAAATAAATAAATCTTCAAACAAACAAGCAAACAACCTCAGTTCCATTTGGAGAATAAACTCATATGGAATGACACTCCTAAAATCCTTAGTCTGTCCAGTGCTGAGACAGCTACTTGAGGAATCTATGGGAGAGATGCCTTGCTAGAGTCCATGTCCTCATACTTAAAGGTGACTCAGGATCACCCAAGGTCATCATATATACACCAAGAAGAATAACTTAAAAGTGATTCACAGTCTAGAGTTACTGGGTTCGGTATTAGTGGATAAGCCATTTTGAAGTCTAGAGAAAAAATTTTAACCCAGATACTGAAAATCGCTTTTGGTTTTGTGGACACCTTTTTAGAATGTGCATAAACATTTCCTACCAGGACACAAAGAGCTTCAGTGGTTGACAGACAATTGCTGAAGGAAATAATTTCTCACTTTGGGTCACCCTACTCTGTTCAATGCAACACTGAATCTACTGAATCTACGTTGGTTCAGAAGACACTCAGAAAGTAAGCAGTGCCTTACAGATTACTTGGAAGCTACACGTTACCTGGATACTTAATCTACCAGACGAACTGAGAAAGTGAATCACACCCGAGAGGAGATATGAAAAACTGTGCCAAGAAACCCATCTACATCGGGATTAAATATTGCTCCTAATGCTTTTGCAAATAAGTGTGGGTCCTAGAAGTGGGCTACATTTCAGTCCTTTGAAATTGCCTTTAGAAGATCGTTCCAAGTCCATTTGAGAACTGCACTGGACATAGAACAAGAATGAAAATCATAAAGTACATATAACATATTCAAGAAATTGTAGCTGTAACTTCCAACTTTGCTTTATTATTGTTATGATTCCAGAGGAGCTATTGTATCCTTTTAGACCTGGCAATCAGCTTTTACTCAAAACCTGGCAGACTGCAGATGTCCAAAGCAAGCTGTCAGAGAAATGACATGTTCCTTACGATGTTTTGCTAGCCACTCAGACTTCACTGAAACTTGTAGGCATATACTACAGGGTGTATCATTCTAGAGTGAACAGGTCCCCAGATCAGAATCCTTTGGTCTTGTGAAAATGTTAATAATATGATTTATTTGTTTAGGAAAAAGACAAAAACTTCAATTGTTTTTTTCTTTTTCAGCTTCTGCTGTAGCATACCCCAAACTTATATTAATGAATCCTAGGAAACACTGATGAATAATAAGCTCTGAAGCTTCCTTGTAATTGCTCTGAATAACCTATTTTTTCTTCCAAAAATCTAAGCTACATAGGATGTCACCTAAGTGATCTCTGCCGGCAACACTCCCCAAGTTTGGGAATTTGATTTTGAGTCCTTTGAAACACTTTGTTTTGATTTTTATTTCCTATTTTTATTTTTTGTGAAGTTTATGTAGGGACCTGTGCTTGATTTTCCCCCTTGGTTTCTTTACAGATTGCTTTTGTAGGTACATGTGTAGTTCAGGTATACAAAAATATACTTTAGTGTGAATAAGATACCTTTCCTAGACCGTGGTATAAAGAAGTTAGCCTCAGAAAACTAGGATTTGTCCTCACCAGCAAGCAAAAGAGAAGCTCTGAGTCTGAGGGGGTTGTCTGCATCCATGTGTTGTATGTCTTCTCTTGGTGTTCACTAATTTTGGTCTCCAGAGGAGAGAAAAATTGGTATCGACAGCACTTACAGATATTTGTAAGCTAAGAAATATAACTTTTTCTATTTAAGGAGGACTTACTAGGCCCATCAGTTCTTCAGAAGAACATGAGAATTACTAAGGTGAACAAACCCATCCCTCTAGGGTTTATGTAAATTCTGAGTACAATCTGAATCTATAGATAAAAAAAAAAAACCACTTTGACAAACCTCTCATGTAGGTTAAAGTGACACATCAGGTATATGGCAGATGAGATTTACATAACACCCTATATTACTTACCTCTCCAAACCCTGGGAACAGCTTATTCTTTTTCTGTACATTGTACTCATCATCAAGTTAGAAATTAGTAGTTATAAATAATACAGTAATAATACTACTAATTGTAAATTTAATTACAATTAAACCACTCAATTTTAGATATTATAATGATTATTAACCACTTTTGCCATAAAAGACATTAAAAGGGATACATTACAAAGGCAGTTTTAAGAAGAACCAAAAGAGCAATTAGTTCTAAGGTAGAGGAAGGTCACTGTATCTTTTGAGACTAGATAGAGAGAAAATTATGTTTAAGTTTAGATCCAGTTAGTGGAGTGTCATCATGAAAATGGACAGTTTCAGTTTGATGGGCTCAATATTGTCTATAAAGTAGAAGGGAAATTGTTTTCTAATAAGGTTAATTGGGACCTTAAAGAGAATTGAGGCAGACAAACTCTAATGCTAACAAGAAAACATTTGATAAGCAACCTTTAGTTACCACTAACTTAGAAAACAAACTTACTTTTGGATTCACTGCTAGTATGGAGTGACAGTGGAGATCAAATCGAGTTCATGACTGGGTATTCTCGAGGTAGCACTAAGTGCACCTTTATGTAGACTATCAAGATGCTCTTGGAAATAACCAAGGATGAAGTCTGGACTGTGTTAAGAAAGCAAGTGAGGCTAGGGAATACAGAGAGAGAATGGAATATAGTCAGAGTGTTAAGGGATGGAATGTTCTGTAAAGACAAAGAAAGATTCTTTTAGTTTTTACCTGTTCTGTCTAATTTAGAAACACACACGTTATGCATTACCTCCTTCTGAAAAACCTGCCAGTGTTCAGCCTGAATAAGAAAGGAAGTAAGGCTGATAGAAATTGTGTAGAATGGAATATAATGGAAGTACTAAAGAATTGGAGTATTTTATGAGATCAAAGAAAAATCTCCAATTTTCAATTCTTTCACCAAATATCAAATAATGCCACTCTCCCTGTGAAAACCCCTTCAGTGTCTTCCCTCACAGTCAGATGCTTTACACACATTTCTAAGCTTAATAACCTTCATTATTATTTCTTCCTCTCTGATCCATTTTCCTTTAACTTTTCCCTTTCATCTCTTTCCTCTGGACATATTCTCTCCTTTGGTGTTTTCCTTACAAGGCAGTTATGTACCCACTTGCGTGCTTATGCTGTTTCATCCTTTTTGATAATGTTAATGCAGTGAGGGGGTAGTTGGAAGGCTTATGTTCTCAATATCTGTCACCCTTCTTTGGTGTGAGAATTTTAAGTGAGAGAAAGATTGAGGGATCTGGTGAAGGTTTGGGGTCAATTCTGTAGCAAATTGTGAACATGGATAAATCAGAGAGATGATGTAATAATGGCTGAATTGTTAGTATTCAGTTGTGATTAAGGAATATAATTTATAGTGTTCAAAGTTACTCTTGAATCCCTGATTATTCACAGGAGTGAGAAATAAAATTGAAGTAACTAGAAACTGCAGTTTTGTTATCAATCTCATTTAAAGTTACTTGTTAAAGGAATGTTTATATTACCATCAGTAGTCTACTAGATGAGAATGAATAAATGATGATTACACATTAAAGAGTGCATTTGAAATTTTATTTTTTGGAGGAAAGAAATGCGTTTATATAATTCAGAAAGAGTGGTGAAAATAAATAACTGTCAGTCTAGTTTGTATGAAACCACAATACAGACCCAGCATATTCAAAATGACTAACAGGAAGAATATAAACAATTCAAGAGACAGTCTGCAGTCTTCTTTCAACTGAATATTTCTGCCTTATTACTTCAGTCTAAACATGCTGGTAGTAAATGGTAGATGAGAAAGATAGATATTCCAGTCAAACCTAAAAAAGAAGAGGCAATACTATATTACCTTGATGACATAATATTTCAAAAGATAAGTTTATAAATAAACATATGGCACTAATTCATCCTAGTTGAGCAGAATTCTATTATTTATAACTATTATTAGTAAATATTTTCTGGTTTCCAGTTTGATACCTCTATACATGAAATGAACTTAGTAACTATTGAGCAAATTAATAAATGTGTGAAAATTAATAGCTGTGTTCTTCAGCCAGTATTCAAAAGTAATATTCACAGTTATTCATTAAGTATTTACATTTTCAGCCAATTATGAAGTAACTTGTAGGTCTTCTTACATTTCAAATAGTTTGTTAGACATAAAAGCTATTAGTTTACTATATTTCAAGCCTTTTGATCTCACTGGAACCTAGATTCTTAGAAAAGGAGTATTTCTCCTGGCCAAATTGGATCAATAGCCATAGAAAAAATTGGTTATAATTTATGTATTTATAAAGCATACATGTCTGCAAAATTACACATATAACTTACATTTACAAATAAAAAGGTATAAATAAAATTTAAAATATCTCCCAAACAAAATGTAATGTAATTAAAGTTGAAGCTATATTACTTAGCAACATTAAGATTTAACTCCACATAAATATCCCACTTAAATTATTACTTAAATTTCAGCTCTAAAGGTACTTACCAATACAGTCAAAGAAGAGAGGTCATTCAATAATCTTAAAAGTAGTTCTTTGAAAGAGAAATGATATATTTTAATTAAATGTTTACAATAAGAAACAAAAAAATAAGAATAAAAAAAAGAATATTAACAATTAGAACATTCCTTAGGCCTGTTATATTTCAAATCTCAGATAGCTAAATTCTTATTTTCTCTAATAATGGAAAAGATATATTTGAATGTTACATGTATGTCTAAAAAACTGAATCATATCTTTAAAATATCTTGAGAAATGAAGACTCTTCCCTCACATAAAAAGCTTTTTTATGTCTGGTCTTCTGATTTTTCATCTCTATTTATAGTAAATTCTCAGTTCTCTGGGTTCAGTTTCTTGCTCTCCCATTTATTCCTCATTAAAACTTTTTTTTCAGATAAAATTTTAATGAAATTCAGGAGAAATATTAAATAGAAACTGATTTACCCACTTTTTAATTTCAGATCCTTTTGTGAAATGGAAATAATACTCTCTATCTTGATTTATTTCTAAGAATTTCTATAGTAATTTAAATATTTTAAGGAAATGCTTCAGAAATATAAAGCCATTGGAAATGAAATTTATCATTATAATTATTTTGGTTTGTTGTAGTTGTATTTGCACTGATTTAATTTCTTGCCTAGACATTTTTTATTTAATTATATGTCAACAAATTAGAAAATTAATTACAATAGAATTTCTCCATTATTTCAGCATATTTTTAACCACAAACAGCTGTATTTTATAAAATCAAACAAAAAGGGAGTACTCACCATAGTAGGAACAAATTGGAAAGGATTTGGCTTAATGTGAGTCCATGTGCTCATGGTGGGCTGATATTGGCTAACAGTCTTGTAATATTGAGGCAAGATGAACTTCTGATAATATTGGTAAATTTTATTCTGGAAAAAAATAGGTAGTTATTACAGTATCCTAACTATAAATATACACAGGAATGATAAAATACATTAAAATTTTGGTTGGATAAATTCAAAATGATACCAAAGCCATCTGATCAAAGGAAATTTTACAGTGGTAGAATGTATTATAAAACTGAGAAAATTCTTTGGTTAATTTAGACCCCAAGGTTAAAAGCTTTAAGTAAAATAAAAACATAACCAAGCAAACAACAAAAGAAAAGCAAGCCAAAAGGTTGTGCTAAGAATACAAGATCATTTCTAAAATGATAAAACAGGTGTCTAAATTGACATTTTTTTTTTTTGCCATTTCTGATAGAAAAAACTCTGGTCCTTACAGTCATAAAATGTGTGGTTTAATTTAATAGCATATGTGCCACTGAGTCAGTTGTTAATTCTTGTTATCTTGTAGAATAAATGAAATATAAGAAGAGTATATTGCATAATTCCTGTCACGTTTATGATTAATAATCATTCCCCTCCTTTGTGTTCTGTTTTGAGCTACTATCTTCCATGAATCTGATCATATGATCATGAATTCATAAAATTGGAAATGAATGCAGTTGTATTTACTTACTTTCAGGATAATTTTGTACTTTTACAAAATGAAAAACCAGTGGTTTTTTAGAATAACCAGGGAACATGTTAGGTATATACATGACAATGATATGATTGGTACAATGAAAAAAACTTTTGTAAAGTTTTAACTAAATATAAGGAGGACTTTCATATAAATTAAAGTTTATTAAAGAAGGTTTTTTTCCTTTGTGGTTGAGAGGATTGCAGTTCAACAGTGACAAATTAAAATCTGGCTGTGTTATTTAAATGTGTGTATGAAAACCTTACCAGAATTTCAAGTTTATTTTTTTCTTCAGTCATTTCAGTTTTCTGTAAACAAAAATAAACTTGGTAAATACAAAAGAAAATATTATGGATGATAATTAATTTTGTATAAATGAAATTACATACCTCAGTGAATCCTTGGGTTGATTCCTTAGGGAAAGAAAACAAAAATCAACTTTTGTTGCCTAGGCCACCAGTAGTTTTGTTTACATTATTATGGAGGTGATCTATGTGTAATAATTATTAACATGGTTATTTTTAATAATTCAGAGTCCATGCACTTATCAAGAAACAAAGGTTATTTATTATTTACAGTTATTTATTATTAATTGAATAAATTTAAATACTTAGTAGCAGGGCATTCTCTGTGTCAACATAGTGGTAGCTGATAGGAAATTACTCTGTTGCCAATTTTTAATTTATTTACATTGTTCATATCATATAAAATTTTCCATGGAGGGGGGAGGGAAGGGAGGGAGCAAACAGGAAGAAGAGAAATGGGGGGGGGGAGAGAGAAGGTAGAAAAACATTTTCTGGAATGACACATTTTTTTCCCCCTTAATTCAGAGGACATGGACCCACAGTTTGAGATTTAGAGGAAGGTAAAGCATCCTTTCTAAGGCACTGAGGAGACCCGAAGACTGTGCTACAGTCTGTAATTCACTCTCTTCCAGAATCCTTTCCAATTCTGCTCTTTCACTTGGCTTTTCTCTAACAGTAAGTGTCCTTGTATCTTTGACAGTTCAGTATCCAACTCCTTCAACATATGAGATTCAGGATGAAGCTATTGTCAACACAATAAGCAAGATTCTGAGTTGGCACTGGTTAATTTAAAACATATTTCAAAAAAGGGACTTCAGCTATGCATCACCAAAAAGCTTGGGGAAGAACAACTAGTCTTCACTTTGAATAGATAGTTCATTTTGAATTTGTATGTGTTTCTTACAAGGATCTTACAAATAGTTCATTTTGAATTTGTATGTGTTTCTTACAAGGATCTTACAAATATCCAATGGGATATTTTGCTGTGGCTGTTAAAAAAACCCCAGTAATACCTAGTTTATTTAAAATAACCAACAAAGGAGAGTATTTCTCAATAAACAGTTAGTGGTTTTATTCATAATATTTATGAAATTAAAGATCTTTCTCATAATACAAGCAAGGCTTTAGTAAGGCATGTTAAAAAGAAAGCATACTATCACATTTTCAGTTAAACAAATAGTAAAAATTGGATTAAAAAAAGTGAAAGAAGTAATAAAGTTATATAAAAATATTCTTCAGGAAAGTATCTTGCTTAGATGGGAGGTTTAATTGAAGTAATGAGTGGAAGCCAGAAAAGTTGGACAACAGCAAGATATAAAAGGAATCCAGATTGAAAAAGAAATAAAATTATCGTTATTTGCAAAATATGATAATATATAGATAACATTAAAACATCCACTAAAAAATATTGGAAACAATAAATAAATATAGTAAGGAGTATGTTACACAAAATGGGTTAAAAAAATAAAACAATCCCATTTATAAGTATATCAAATAGAATTTAAAATCAAGGAATAAATTAACAAAGGAGGTGAAATTATCTATGTAATAAGTTAACTATAAAACATTATTAAAATATATAAGACAAACTAAAAAAGAAATTGGAAAATAGTCCATGTTTATGAAAGGGGAAAGTTAATACAGACAAAATGACTTTTCTTCTAAAGGCAGTATACAGAAAATTACAACGGTACTATTCAAGAAAATATTAACATATATAATGTAAATACACAAGACTCCCAAAATCTAAAGCAATTTTGAAGGGAAAAGGTAGCATCCTATTACCCTTTTAAATATATTAAAAAAGCAACAGTAACTAAAATAATGTTGGAATAAAAATAGACACATGAATCAGTTGAAAAGAATGGAAACTTCAGAAATAAATCCACACATGTATGAATACCTAATTTATGATAGAAAGGAAATTCTCTTCTCTAATAATGCTGGGAAAAGAATGAAATTTAACTACTCTCTAGATCATACACAAAAATAAATTATAAGAGGATTAAAGACCTGGATGTAGTACCTTAAACTGTCAAACACATAGAAGAAAACATAAGTGGTATGTTTCCTTAAATAAATGTTAGACATATCTTTGGTGTCTGTACCCCACTACCAAGGATATAAATGCAAAAATAAACTATGGGGACAGTATTAATTTAAAACACTTTTGCAAAGCATATATACACACACACACATATGTACATATGATATATATCATGTATATGTGTGTGTGTGTGTATATATATATATATATATATATATAAGCTGAATGAGAAAAAATATGAACCACAATGAAGTAGCATTTCATATTTTTGAGAATACTCACACCAAAAAGACTGTAAACAAATATCAGTGAGGAGAATGTGGAGAAAGAAGGAACCTTTGTATAATGGTTGGAATGTAAATTAGTATAGTCGTTTTGCAAAATGGTATGGACCTACCTCAAAAAGCAAAAAATAGAACTAACATTTGATCCTGTAATCTATCATTATATAAAAGAATGAAATGCATCAATATGTTTATTGAGCATTATTTATTAAAGTTAAGACATGGAAACAACCTAAGTGTCCAATGATAGATAACTGGAAAAGAAGGTGTGGTCTGCTTACACATTTGCATACTACTGAGCTATAAGAAAAGACAGAAATTTGCCATTTATAGAAAAATGGAAGGAACCCAGTAGACCATGTGAAACTAAATCAGTAAGAAAGAAGAAAGACATATATATTGGATGGTTTCACCTATATGTATGACATATGGAAATTAAACAGATAAATGGATCAAACAAAACAAAAAGGAACTAGTGGATATTTAAAACTGAAATTAGATTACCAGATGAGGAGGAGGATAGGGAATGAAAACAAGTACAGAGGGGGTATTATGATGATTGTGGTTGTTTTATTCTTTCTTTCTTTTTATTTGTTCTTTCTTTAAAAAAGAAAAAGAATGAAATGAAAGTTAAAAGATTGTGTTATTTTTAAGTACTTTGAAATATTTTACTGAAAGGACATTTCAGATAGGGCATAAATATGTACAGATATAACATGAAAATGTTAATGTTAAATTTTGGAAATATGAATGAAATATAAGTTCATATAGAAATAAGTCTTACCATGTCAACAGCTTTTTGGGATTTTTTCTTAAAGAAATAGAAAAAGGAATTAGATGCATAATTTTTTATTGTATCAATTATACATAACTTCCTCTTGAATATGTATAGGAAATCCCTTTGTTATAATGAAAACTGAAATTAAATGTATTCTTTTAACCACTAATGGATCTGCTAAATGTAGAACTGTGTAAAAGGTATAGTGCTTACTCCCTTCATTTCTTCAATGATGAGTGATATATATATATATTAGTAAACCAATAAGTAATTTTTATCTGACTGGTATTTATAACCAGCTTTTGGGCTTACATTTATTCAGAATAAATAATATTTATTCTACAGCCATGACAAAACTATTCATAAAAACTCATTTCTTAAATTTATTAATACAAAGTGGTTTTGACTTACTTCTTGAGAGATGTCGGAATCCTTAAAAAAATAGAAATGATACATTTTAATCTTATTTATGACATTGAAATTGTTACTTTTCTTTTTTGTACTTTTATTCTATCTCATAGATGAATAACCAAAAATAAAACTAGGCTGTTCTGGGACCTGAACAACTGGGATATGCAGGAAGACCTTGGACATTGTTTTCTTTTGTTTGTCTAGAACTGGGCTACGGCCTGAGGTGTGTGGAAGGGGGATGAAAGGATTCGCCAGAGACAGAGTGGGAGCAGAAACAGGTGAATTTACTGACACACACTACTAGGCGAGCAGTGGGTGAGACAGGAGAGGCCGGCTCTGCCATATGTGGTCAGCTCCCTGGCCAGTGATCAAGCTCAGGCTGTCGTGTGATAGTGCCGAGACTTAAAACCCTAGGCCAAATAGTGCTTTGTATGGACCTGGATGAATTGCTGTCTGTATTTCCAGAATGATATACAGGATTCCACTCACCTTGCTTACAAAATTTGAGAGCCTACTAGCTGTTCTGATACAGCAATATTAATAAATGAATTTTAAAAAAAGAAATAGCACTTTTTAAAAAGTGTAGCATCTACTAACAAAAATTTATATATTTTTTTCTTCTAATATTAATACATTATTGTTCCACCCTCCCAAAAGTTTTCCTTGAGTTCAGGAATTGTGACTCCCCCATATTCAATAAATCTAGATATATTATTTTGAAAAACCAGAATAATGACTTTCATATAGCATATGGAATCGTGCTAGCTACCCAAGTATTGTAAAGTACTCAGTAAGTAAAATGCCTTACCTCAATGGTAGAGAGTTCTTTTTTCTGTGTGAATATAAAAAAAAAGTTTGTTGTATGAAAAAATATTTCTTATGATATGGTTTGGAAAAAACATTCATATGAAAAAAATATTCCTTAATGCAAGTCTATTTTATGAGGCAAATGGAAAAAACTGCTAATCACTTATCAGGGAAATATAAATTAAAGCCACCATGAGATGCCATCTCACACCTGTAAGAATAGCCCATATCAAAAAGACCAAAAACAAATGCTGGCAAGGATGTGTAGAAAAAGGAGCCTTGTATATTAATGGAGAGAATGTAGACGGGCCCAAACCCTATGGAAAACAGTACAGAGGTTTCTCAAAAATATTTAAAACATATCTAGCATATTACCTGGCAGTTCTGTCCATAGGTATCTACCTGAACAAACCAAAGAAACACTGATTTGAAGGAATATGTGCATTTCTGTGTTCACTGCAGCAGTGAAGTATGGAAACAACCTAAGTTCCCAAGGTCCCAAGGACAGATGACTGAATTGAGATGTAGTGTATGTACGATGGGATACTACTCAGGTATTAAAAAAAAAAAAAAGACGAACTCTTGCCATTTGCAGCAACATGACTGGAATTGGAGGGAGTTAGGATAAGGAAAATAGCTGAGGAGAAAATAGCTCAGATAGTTTC